GTCACCACCACAGGCAGTCGCAGCCCTTGTAGATCAGAAGGAGATATGCCACCATTCGACTAGTTTAATACCAGCATGGTGGTGGATGCTGGTGTATGTAATCAGGAATAGCAGAACTATTGGAACTCATTGGCGACATTTCGTGGAATAAAGAAGAAAGTTAACGTAGACGGTGCGAGCAGGACCCATTTGAATGCTTAGCGCTAATAATTCTCGAATACGGAGAAAAGGTCGAAATATATATGATGTGATGTTGTGTGGCTATGGATAGGTATGGATATACAAGTAGTCAGGTCCAATGTTAAGCAATTTGTAATATAGTGGATTACATGAGAATTAGTGCTAGAGGAAGTACATAATCAATACATGGGACATCGAAGATGATAAGTGGAGAACATTTCACGAAAAGTATTCCATGTAACAGCATTGCTGATTGAGGTTTCCAAGATCACCCCCAGATGTGGTCCTTATGGTTCACATTCTGAGTGAGTTTTATTATCTTGCAATTTTCATTGTGCCGACGCCAATGAGTTACAATAATTCTGCTACTTCGGATTACATGTTCGGTTATCAAGTAGTGCCGAATTCCTTCTCAAGTTGTGTAAATTGCGGGTCAGATAATCTGCCGCTGTTATTCGCAGTTCGAAAACTAGTAACTTCTCGTTAGTGGGACAGCATTCTGTCCACACGGTGAAGAATACAACAAACTTGGATGTGGCGACTGCAGGTGGAAATCCATTAGCATACATGCGACGCAGTTTTTGACGTCATAGTTACTAACTGTGTGATTACAGCTATGCAATGTCACACCGCTACGGAAAATGTCTGTCGGAGGTCTTCTGGCGGCTGCATCGTTCATCATGGCAGGCTTGCTGCAGGTAAGCACCGCATCCAACATTTTTTCACACGTATATAACGAAAAAAGCTCAGTTGGAAGTGAACAAGACGATGGAACCGCCACCGGCGACAGGTCGCGTCTATGTGCAGAGGATTGGAAACATCAGTCGGGCATATCCACTGCTACGAGTCGGCGACTCTACGCCAATCATAGGTTGGCGCATTCGTTCTTTTATAACCCTACTACGTCCTGTCTATCCATTAACAGCTGAACGAAACGACGTGAAGACGATGATTTTTCTTACTTTGTACATCCGAACGTTGAGTTTTGTGTGAAATTCCGGTGAATCAAGAGCGGCCATCATCTTAAACGAGCTGTTTGATCCCGTCATGCCATTGCGAACCCTAGGATGGTCAACGAACCTAAATAAATTGGTTTTAGGTGACCTCCCAGTTGGTAGAACGGAGGTTGATGCCGGAATGTACAATATTGGAGAGGGAAGTGAAGTAAGCGACGAAAAATATTAGTAATTTATAAGGTGCTCTAGTGATGCATAAGTAGGCAACTTAATGTTGTTGCAATTTTTCGAAGAGAAAAAACATGAGAAGGAACAGCTAGGCTGGTTTCGGTATGAAGCATGACTGAAAAGTTACGTATAACGTTCTCTACAAATTATTTGCACCTCACCGTTATTTAGTTGCACAGGCTAAATCTCACAGTTCCCGGAAAGGGATACGTAATCGGACTGCGCGAAAGCGACAACAGTAGGTGAGTTCTATCAAGAGGATTCAAATCCACCAAACGAGTAGTGGAACCGAGCAATTTTAGTCTACGAATCACCACGTTCATGTACGCCATCGAAAAGACCGACAACGGCGGCTCGAGGCTTTATTTCATCGTTCCTCAAGGCAATGCAGGACGAGTTTTCGTCGTCAATTACAAGTACGGTTATGGCGGTGGCAAGCCCACTGATGCAAAATGGTGTTGAGAATCGCTAACAAACGCCCCTCTACCGACGGATACTTTTATGACACAATTATCAGTATTACTATCAACACCAAAGCAAAATCGCGCCAGAAACGTAGACATCGTAAATGGCTCATTGAACATGTAGTACTGAGAACAGAGGTGATAGCTCAGTCCCTTTTCCATTCCAGAAACCAAATCGTAGCGTCACAGCACTTGAAATCCGGTAATTTCGTGGACATTCGTCCTGCTTTCTTTGATAATGGCGAATACACTCTTTACTACGGAATGGGCTGTGAAGGTACTTCCTGTCCAAGCAAAATCAAGTTTACGGTGAGAAACTTCAAGAAATTTTAGCGAGAAAACTTTCATGATTAGACTTGCAAACTAGATTTTAACACGTGGTGCCGATATTCGATCCATAAATCTGTCTTGCTAAAGAAGCACTTAATATGCCACTGGACTTTATCTTCGTAGTCCCAGATCTTGTGTAGGCCATTTTTCAAAGAGCTTCTTGTCCTGCAGTGGACAACCGACGACAGCCGTGCTCCACGGCGTGAAAAACTGTGTGAACTGGGTGTGAATTGCCTCCGATCAACATAAAGATTGATTCAAGTTGAACTGCAAGCATCAAACTATTTAGAGTTTTCATTCTCAAATTCCGTAGCACTCCAATTGCAGGCGCTAATGGGGTCTGTGACAGTACTGCATCTGGACGGCAATTCAAATGAAGGAAATTACCACGTATTGGTACGTTCCGTCTGCTGTACCTATCACTATTATCTCTCATATCAACATGAGTGTCATCACTTCGTTATCTAGTAATGACATTTTGACCTACTTTCAATTCGACTGCAACACTTATGAACGTATTTGGCGACACGGTGAACAGTCTTCTAGCAAAGTGTCGACACGAAGACTTAACCTGAAACCTTAAATATCATCGGCCTCCATGTTCTGACTGTTCTGATTATTGTGACATCTCGAAAGCTACTTCACTTCGAATTGGTTTAGGTACGACCAAACACGGTGTCCATACTCTGGGTCGTGCCACAGTTCATCGTGATCACTCTGGGCGAGGTGCTACTCTCCGTGACCGGTCTCGAATTCGCGTATTCGCAGTCTGCACCCAGCATGAAAAGTTTTCTGCAGGTTAGTCAATAGAATATAAATCCAGAGAAAACGCCACTTTTTGGGATTTCCCATTGGTGTTTCCGAATCTTTTTTTCCTTCGTGAGCTTTACAAAGATTTCACAACGAAGATATCACAAAAGATCGACCTTCTACAAACCTCGGCATAGATAGTTGATATATTTATTTATATGATCTTATAAACTGATCTTCTTTAGCTAATGCGAGGTTGGTATAGGTCTTTGTTGTCGTTGTCGTTGTTGTTGGTGGTGTTGGTCGATGGCTGACGTTTCGGCGATTTTCCCTTCCTCAGAGCCTGGACGTATTTCATATTAGAATACTTTAATTATTCGGTGGAAAAAAAGGCTATGGTATTAATGAGGGTTAAACTTTTAAATAGATGGTGGGTTAGGATGCTACGATCAAATGTAGTGTTACGCCATAATGAACGGAAAGGCTACTCACCGTGATGTTACGAATGGGACTGGCCCACGCGTTGTTCTCGTGGGGTCGCGAGCAAAACACACCACGGGGTCAAAATATCATTTTGAAATAGGGGGCCAGGTCACATGTGATGGCGAGCCATTCGTCTTTCCAGTTCATCTTTGGATTTTTGAAATTTATCCAAAACGCCTCAAGAGTTTTTCGTGTTGATGTTTTCGATTCCTGCGCTAGGATCCGCACAGTCACTTCAAAATCATCGTCGTTGTGCTTTTGTGCCTTATGCGTACCTAGTCCCTACTCAGTACATAAAGATTCTCCGTGAGCTGCACAAAAATTTTACAACCAAGATATCACCATTCTACAACGATATTAACATTGACGTCAAAAGAGGAGTTAGGCAAGGGATACCATCTCGCCAAAATTATTTACCGCCACCCTCCAGAAGGTTATGCGAACATTGGAATGGGATAATGGAGTGAAAATCGATAGTCGGCAGTTACACCATCTTTGCTCTGCTGATGACATCGTCCTTATAACATCAAACATTAGCGAAGCGGAACGTATGCTTGACGGCTTTGATAAAGCCTGTGGAAAGATTGGTATCCGACCAAATCTCACAAAAACGATGTTCATGAAGAACGAATTGGTTTCGTATGCTCCGTTCACGCTCAACGGAATGTCTAAGTCGGGAAATCAATATGATGAACAACTTAGCTTCAAAGTTGAGCAGAAGGAAACGAGCGCCTTGGGGAGCTTTCAAGAGGAGCACCGGGGATGTAGTGAGGAAAACAAAGAACACCCGACTTCGTGCTCACCTTTTAGACTCGTCGGTACGTCCCGCCCTAACATATGTGTCAGAGACCTGGTCGGTGCGTAAGCAGAATGAAAGATCACTCATCGTAATTCAACGCGAATTCGAAAGGACCATGCTAGGGTATCCCGTGTCACACAAGTAAGGCAAAGGATATTGGTCGGGGATCAAAAATCATCGATGCCGTTCTGTGCACTAAGCAGTCGAGGATTGGGTGGGCCGCAGACATAATGCGTATGAACGACAATCGATGGGCAAGAGCCCCATTATTGACTGGATTCTTCGGGATGTCAAACGCACTGCAGGAAGATCACCGACCTAATGGTCAGAGTTCTTCACGAAAAGTCTGGAAGAAAGGTATGATGCTCAACGAGTCCCTAAAACGAGCAGAACCCACTCTGCTACTTTTACACGCCGACAGGGAAAAATGGAAAGCCTACTGGCGCCCGTTCCAGTCACTCGGCGACCAGCGGGACTACAGATGACAGGTGATACTGGTTTCCGAACCCGATAAGTGAATTCATGAGTTTCGGATACATGTATTAGACTTTATGAGCTGACTTGGTTCGAACTAAATCTAAGAGAAAAAGCGTATTGCCCTGGCAGGATGCCAGAAGAGAAGTCTAATTTCGTTATCCTGGTAATTTTTAAACGAAAAGGGATTGCTTTGGAGTACAGAGTCCACGTGAATTGCTTCTTGTCTTGTGGCGGAATGTCGATATCAGCAACTGCTTTTATTCGCCAATTTGAGCAGTTGACGTGAGTGGGTTAGCTGCGTTTTGTAATCATTTGAATGGACTATTTCGCCTCACGGAGTACTTCCAAAAATTTTTTGCGATGGACTTCCACGCTAATCTAGGAGGACCTAGCGTAGATGAGTACCGCGTTGGGAAATTTGGAATAGGAAATCCAAATGCGAATGAAAACCACTATTTTGCTGGGCTCTTGTTGGCAGC